CCTCTGTCATCTTGTCTTGACTGGGTGTTGTGCTTCCGAACAGCAACGCGCATTGCACGTCTCGAGCCGTGACTGAGTGGCCATGGAGGGACAGGTAGGTGGCGATGCGATGGGCGTCGGCTTCATCGATTGGGTTTACGGATTTAAGGTTGAATGTGTGGGGGATCCATGGGGTTTGTTCCCAGGTTAGGCGTTTGGCGAAGGCGAGGGAGGTGGGGAGGCAGAAGGAGAGGGCGCTGTAGCATTGTTCTGGTTTTGCGGTGGGGGAGAGGGCGGAAAGGCCAGGAATGGATCGCTCGTGCGTGGAGGACATGGTGGTGTTGGAGTTGAGGAGGTCCGGATGGACGAAAGACTGTGTGGGAGGGCTTTCGCAAAATACGTTTTGAGAGAAGGTTTCGGACTTTGAGGCAGGAATGAGAAGCGACTAGAGCATTGTGGATCTGTATATCTTGCCTGGAGACATAGTGAATGGTGTAGAGGTTACTAGCCCATGACGCACACGTTCTTCGAGATTTGAGACAGCTGAGTGAAATAGTCATATGCTTGTGCGTCCTCTCCAAATCGCCATCCGCCAGAATTGCGCTGGAAAACAGCTGCAGAGAATCCTTCATGGCAAGTAGCTGCTCGAAGAACTCACCATGTCTTTTCTTGTATCCGATCACGAGATGGGAAGTGCTTAGTTAAGTCGAAGTGACAAGAATGATAGAGCGTTGGATCAACGATCCGGCTGCGCTAGGTTGATGGAGATTAGTGTACTTCACACCTCGACGGAGATATTTTCAGCTCTAATATGCCTAGTAAGAATTACTATGGCTGTGGCAGTGGAGAGAAGCGACTTTTAAAAGATTTCCCTGGTGTACGCGGTGCGACGCAAGACCTCGGGAAGCTCGATCATTCCTCGTAAGGTACTGGCAACATGCTTAAGATTGATCTAGGCTGTGAGCCTTGCTGTAAAAGCTGATACATTTCGATTTGAAGACATTGTGCCTGATACAGCGCTTTGATTCCAATGAGACGTAATGGATGCTTCGAAGAGTAAAAGAGCGTTTGAGAGTGGGCTGACAAGCTAGACGAACTTGAGTTTAATTGGCAATTACTACCTTGCAGCACACGTTCCGAGAAATGGGTTCCTGGATACATGCGCCATTTGGAAACCGGACTATGCTATGTTGATGGCTCGTTGCTATATCGCATGACTTGTATGCAGAGCGCTTGCCTGCAGATCTGAGTCAGCTTGGAAGAATGCCAAGATGGCTGCCTGGATGTCAGCACTAAAGATCATCCTAGTACTACATCTTAAGTACACTGCTGGGCGCTCTTCTTTGCGACAAACCTCATGTTCTTACACTTTATTGAGATGTCTTATTGTTCGTGGAAGAATCATAGAGGTAGGCGTTGCATCGACCGGAAACCAGCCTAACGGAATCCCGGGACTCGGCAGCTTATCTTCGCGCACCACGGCGACACTGCGGGCCTGACTGCCGCATTCTGGTCCACGACTCCGCTGCTCGCGGGGAAGCCGTCTACATCTGCGTGCTTCAATCCACCAAGGCTTCATCTTGTGATGGACAAGCATGACCTAGCGGGCGCCACCCCCACTTGGCAACGCTTATTGTCGCATTCTCGAGGACAACGCCAAACGACGAGCGCCCCAATCGCACGAGACAGGATCGTCTGTCGCACGAACGCCGAGGAAACTTCCCTAAATTGCGAGGCAATTGTTCGGCGACACCAGGTCTGCCCGCGATTGGCTTGTCGCGCGGTCATAAGCACGGCGAATGCTTCTTCCGGGCGCATTCGATATCGTGTCTGCGGATGATGCCATTCAACCTGGTGGCGACACCATTCCGTTGTTTACCTAGGTATCGGTCGCTATCAGCCTACCGTTGCAACATGGTGCCAGGCCATCCCCTTTGGAACGGCATCTCCGACACGGGATGGCACGACCTCGTTATCCCCGCAGTTTCCTGCCCAATATACGGTTGCAGGCTTCGTTTCTGATATGCCGGGTGTTCTAGAATACGAAGGGAAGAAGTGATAGGACCCACGGGTTGCACAGTTAGGTTACCTGCCGTGCCACCAACATCGCCTTGCATGATCTTTAGATACCCTTCTGTATTCGGCCGCTTCCTGACATGGGACACCTGCCCTTTCAAACCTAGGAGTGGCAGTCCTATCGCTCCTGCAACAGGGGCCTTATCTGACGTGCTATTGCGCGCAACCTCGCCGCAATCACACAGGTGAAGGCCACGATAACGCGTTTGCACTAGAGCACGTGAGTAAGTGTATATTTGAAAACCAGTACTCCCACCTTGCGAAATGAATCAAACCACCACCTCGCGCAACCATGGCAGCTCCTCTTGGTGATGTGATGGTTCTGGGTAGACCCGACGCCGTCGAAGGCAAGGTCGTCAGTCTCCCCAGCCACAAGGCTATCAACGACTTCAGCGAAAAGAGGCATGCTGCCCACGACGGAGACATCGACATCAAAGGCCCTTTGGACCCTGAGATCAAGGCCGCTCTTCCCGAATACGACGGCGATGGGCACGACAAGGACGGCGACGGTCAGGACCATGTCATCGTTACTGGCGCCGACGCAGCAGCCTACCTACTGCCTATGCGAGACGACTTTGTCCCTGCGTTGACTTTCCGGAGTCTGCTTCTGGCCACCGGTCTATCCGGATTCCAAGCCGTCGTGTACCAGATCTACCAGGTATGTCGATATCTCCACAGGCTGCGTACCTTGAATGCTGACGAAACCAGTTCAAACCCACTCTCGTCACCATCCAAGGAACCTTCATCGTCCTCATGGCCTACTTCCTCGGCAGGGGATGGGTCAAGCTACTACCCCGCGGAGACAAGTTCGAGGCTCGGTGGAGGGAGAAGGGCGGAGTCGGCAAGGCGCCCATGTGGATTACAATCATGTCCTTCTTCAACCACGGCGAGTGGAACTTGAAAGAGCATGCCATCACATCCATCACCGCGACTTCCGCATCGATTGCTGCTCCCGCCAGTCAGGTCTTCGCTGCATCTGACCTCTTTTACGACATGCCTTTGAGCCCTGTCACAGTCATCTTCAGCACTATTTCTATTGGACTTTTTGGATACGGTATCTGCGGTATCATGCGCCCCATCTGTGTATGGCACGTTGACTCGGTCTACTGGAGCAGTCTTCCTACAGTCAAGGTCCTCCAAGGTCTCCACTGGCAGAGCGTCAAGGATTCAAAGCCTCTCCGATGGTTCTGGATTGCATTCTCCTGCATGTTCGTCTACGAGTTCTTCCCTGCATACATCTTCCCCTGGTTGAACTCTATCTCGATCCCCTGTCTGGCTGCCATGCATGCGACTGGAAACACGGCGGCTACGCTTACCAACCTCTTCGGTGGTGCCACAAACAACGAGGGTCTTGGTTGGTTCAGCATTTCGCTTGACTGGCAATACGTAAGAAGGCGCTCCGAAACACTCATACTCTGCAGACACTAATCCCTATTACAGATCACTTCCTTCCAGTCCTCACTTCCGCTCAAGCTCCAACTCCATCAAGCTGCCGGATTCGTGTTCTGCTTTTTCATCATGCTCGGCATTTACTACGGCAATGCTTGGGGTTCGAAGGACCTGCCTTTCATGTCAACACGTCTCTTGACCCAGGAGGGCAAGCAGTACCCAAGCGAGAGCGTCTTCATCGATGGCATTCTGGATGAGAAGGCTCTCCTGCAATACGGTCTACCGAGGATTACTGGCACCTTCGCTTACGCCATGTTCATGGCCAATGCTGCGATCGGTGCCCTCATCGCCCACATCGTGCTCTTCTGGGGCGGCGACACAGTCCGAGCGTTCAAGGATGCCAAAAAGGGCAAGTTCGACGATCCTCACCACGCGCACATGGCCAAGCACTATAAGGACGCACCGCAGTGGTGGTACCTTGCCGTACTCGTCGTCAGTTTTGTGCTCGGTCTCGTCGTCGTGATCAAGGAGAACGTCACTCTCCCCGTTTGGGCCTACGTAATCGCACTGGTGATGGGCACGATCATCTCGCCCTTCAGCACCCTCCTCTACGCCCGCTTCGGTAACGGTATCGCAACCAACAACTTGTCCAAGGTCATTGCCGGACTGATCCTCCCCGGCCGCCCCATCGGTAACATGTACTTCGCCGCGTGGTCTCACAACGTCATCAACAGCGCCGTGCAACTCAGCATGGACCTGAAACTAGGCGAATACCTCAAGATCCCGCCCCGCGTGATGTTCATGACACAAATTTACGGCACCGTCCTCGGCGGCTTCATCAACTATGCCGTCATGATCTCCATCGTAACAGGAAACAAGCACCTACTCGCCGACACCGACGGTAACGCGTCGTGGTCTGGTGCAACCATTCAATCCTACAACACCAACGCCTCCACCTGGGCCCTCGCCGCGTACCTGTACAAGCAAGGAAAAGCCTACTCCATCGTCCCCTTTGGTCTCCTCATCGGCGCCGCCATCGTCCTCGCTCACCGCATCTTCGTTCGTTTCGTGCCTAAGATCGGTAACTTCTCCCTCCGAGAGATCAACTTCCCGCAGTTCATCCAGTACGCTGGATACATTCCTTACAACCAGAGTCAGACGTGCGTGCTTCTCAGCTGGACGATTGTGGGTTTCTTCACGCAGTTCTACCTGAGGAACTACCGTCCCCGCATCTTCAAGGACTACTCGTACCTTATTGCGGGTGCCTTTGATGGCGCGAGTTTGACTTGCTTGTTCATTTTGTCGTTTGCTGTGTTTGGAGCTGGAGGCCCGGCGATTCCGTTCCCGCAGTGGTGGGGTAACAACGTCGCTGGTAACTACGATTTGTGCCCTGTGGCGGAGTAGAGATGAGAGACGCTTTACAGACGGAGGTCGAGGCGTGAAGTATGTAGTTCACTGTCGCTTTAGATACCATCCACAATTATCTCAGACTACTATGTCCAACATGCTATCTACATATCCCTCTATCACTTCTAACTCACATTCTTCATCCCAATCTACCACGCAACAGGCACACCATCATACCTAAAAAACCTCCCACTATCCGCCTCCTTCAACCCCCCCACAACCTCCAACATACTCCCCACACTAACACTCGCCTCAATCATCGCGCCCTCACCCCCCATCCTCGTCTTCACCCACCCAGGATCCATACAAATCACCTTGACCCCCAGCTTCTTCAAATCCTTCGCCTGGTGCACCGTCAACATGTTCAACGCCGCTTTACTCATACTATAAGTACAGCACTTTGTTATATCCGTTGCAACAGTCAGACTGCCGAGCCCAGACGACATGTTCAGCACCGTAGCGCCGCGAGCGAGGTATTTTTGCAGCGAGGAGACGATTTTCGCCGGGCCGAGCACGTTGGTTTGCATGTGCTCGTTCATGCTTTTCGGATCGAGCGTCAGCGATGTGTCGCTGGATGTTGCGTTTATGCCGGCGACGTTGAAGAGGTAGTCGAGTGATGCGCCGCTCTTGGATAGGATTTCTGCGACGCGGAACTCGATGGAGGAGAGGGAGTCTAGCGAGGAGGCGTCGCATTCGATGATGTGGATTTTGGGGTTCGTTTTGCTCATTTCTTCCAGTTCTGCGACGTCACCTGATTTCGAGCGTACGCCCGCGATGATGGTGTTGTCGCCCTTCGCAGCCAACTGCCTTACAAACTCCAATCCAATACCGCGGTTCGCGCCCGTGAGGAAGTAGGTTGCCATTTTGTGTGGTGGTTTTCTCGATCTCGATCTCGATGTAGTAGAAGGGATATGATGTGGTTTTGGTTTTATGATGATGGTTTGGGCGATGGGGGCGGAGGAGTCTGTGAGGGCTCTAAGGGGAAGGGACGCTGGAGCAGATTTCCGGGGTATTGTGGGTTGTAAATGGGGGCGCGAGAAGTTTTGGGATGCGGACGAGCGACTTGATGATGTACTTCGCCTCCGCGGACGGGTTGATGTGCTGGTGGATGTGGATGTGGTGTGCCGTGTGGCATGCATGGGGGCTGCTTCCACCGGGTAAATCATGGTGGTGACGTGTGGTGCGGAGCGTGGGAGGAGGGGAAGTTGGATGCGAGTTTGGCAGGTCGTTGGATATCAGATATTCAGTTAGCAAAAGACCTATATGTTGTTCGTTGATTTGGTTATATGTATATATGCACGTACCATCTGTTCGCTTGAAGGAGTTGGTTGGCGGACCCGTAAATCGGGGTCGGACGTGTCAGACCTGTCAACTCTGTGACATGGGGCTTCATGCGACACGGCGTGTCGACCAGAACGAGGCTGCCATGTTATGCTTTCGCGGAAATTGTGTCTCGAGTTCCCTAATTCTAAGGCTGAAATGGTCGTTTAGTCGTCGTGAGATTTGCAGGATCGAAATGCCTCGGGCGAGCCCGACGGCAGCTGGTGGGATTCGTCATGCGATGGACACGCGACCATATCCTGGATCGTAATGATGCATTGAACACGAAGAAGAGGTAGTGCATGTGGAGAGATATGAATTCGTGAGTTGCATAATTACTATTTCGTGCGTAACTTATAAATATCATCCTTAGCATGGGCACATGATGGAAGGGAAAGCGTAGCTTCACACTCTGATCGGCCACTGACAGTATCACCGTCTCGACTGTCTGACGCGCGTAGCGTGCCTTTCGTCTGGTATCCGGCCCACTCTTGATATCTCCACTTGTCTGCCACTCCCATATCCAATGCTTCGCATTCCGACCGTACACCGTCGAGATCTTGTCTACTCCATGTGGTCAATCTTGCGCTTCTCGCTGGCGCCCTTCACCACACTAGATAGATCGACAACTGTTTCGTGTTAGCAGACGAACTGAACTTGAAAGAGACATGGTCAACTCACGAGGTAGATCGAATGGGAAGTCGACACTAGCCAGCATAATGGCGAAGAAGATGTACCATCCGCACATACACGTGACGAAGGTGAAAGCTCCCGCAGCTTCAGCGAGCTTGACAGCAAGAGCAGCTTGGCCATTGGCAAGCTGGAAGTAGCTTCCGGCAAGGAGACCAAAGGCGGGTACAAGGGTGAAGAAGATAAGGAAGAAGATCAGGTTCGTGCGGATGGAGCAGACGAGGTAGACGAGGCATAGAATGCCCATCATGACGAGGAAGTATGCTGTATCAACCGTTAGGGGTGCAATTCCGAATCATGGTGTAGGCAACGTACCAAGACCGACATTGAAGCCCACAGACTCGAGACCTGTGCTGCCTTCGACGCTTGGATCTGCGTATGCGGCGTATGAGTTGTAGAAAGGTTGGAGAGTTGCGGCGAAACCGAGCCAGAAGGCACCGAAAGAGCAGAAAACAACGAAGGGGAAGGTGTTGCCGAGAATCCACTGTGGTAGCGGTTAGTGTTTGCTGTTACAAGTTTCAGGACAAACATACTTCACCGAGGCCACCGAGGATCATGAGCAGACCACCGCAGAAGTAATACCACCCGATGCTTGCAGATCCACTCCCACCAGCGCCTCGCCATCCCATAAGGGTCATGCTCAACGGATGCAGCGACAACAAGAAACCGATCAAAGCGCTATGGAATGTCAGCAACTGCGAACCCGAAATTTGTAATGAGAACTTACAGAGGTGTTGGGTTACCGAACGTCTTGCGCAGATCTCCCTTTACCTTGTTCGGAGGTGACAGGTATAGCTTCTCGAAAAGCTCTGGCGAGATGGAGATGCTGCCTGCTGTTCGAATTTGATGCAGCGCGGTACCAGAATCGGCCGAAGCATCGAGGTGTGCGTGTCCGCCATATCCATTGCCGTAAGCTAGAGCGTGTCAGTCGGATTCGCAAGTACGCGTCGCAAAAGCGTCTTACCATCTTGCCGAGAGAAGTCCTTCTCCAAAGCGTTGGGGTTATCCATCATTCTTGTCGTCGACTCGTTCCTCGCAGTGGATCCAGCTGATAGAGTCTCCGCGTCCCGAGCCGTAGTCGCACCGAGATGGGCGTCGTTCGTTGCGTACTTGTGGTCGTGGTTGGAAGTCATACAGGCGATGTGGTTATCGAACAGACCGCTTCCGTTAGAGTTAGTATTAGAGGAGGACGTTTCGTGATGGTGGCCAGTGGATGAAGTGGTAGTAGCTGTAGAGTTCTCGTAACGTGACATAGGAGGCTAGAAGATGGAGGATAGGATTGATATAGGTGGGCAGACAATCTTCATTAAGAGTGTAGTAACGTAACGATGGTGCTCCGCAAACCTTGAGGCACGGATTCCAATTCCAAGAAAGCGTAGCCGCGGACGAAAGCAAGGGATCATCACCAAGTAGGTGGCAGGTGCAGCCAGGCCACCCCGGTAAAACAAGAGTTTGAGGACCAACCGCTGCGGCTCCGCGTTGGACCTGATGCACGTAGTCGAATTGGCGGGAGGGCAGATCTGCCCAGACTAGAGCTCGAAGGACGGCCAGGTCTTGATTCGCCGGAGTCATGAGGAGTTCATCCTTAGCTGCGGACGTGGCTTCCCTGGCGACGCATCCCCAGAAACAACAGTGGCGTTCCGCGCAGTCACATTGCACACCCCAGACGTTCTGCCTATAACACCGTCGGGGCTTATCCAAGAGTGCATGATAACGAGCGACCAAATGGGCGATTGGAGATGTAGATTCCCATCGAGGACTCTACGATAAGCATGCTTCTTCGTGAAACACAATTGATCACACTCTTAGCCTCGCCGTATTGGCAAGACCTCGGCGACCCTAGTGCCCAAAACGGTTGCAATGCAAATGGTACGCATTGAACGTTGTAACGTGATCGTGATCCGACTCAGTGACAGCCAGTAAGGGATCTGCAGCTGCAGGAAATAAGATCGGTTCTGCGGAGTCGAGTGGAGATGAAGCACGCGAAAGTTGGGGATGTGTGCGGAGCCTAGACTTCGGAGCTAAATGATCGTCGGGCCGTCACTTATTGGGGTTGACTTTGCGGGGAAAGCGTACTAGGAACGCTAGATCCGGATGAGTGGTGCAGGCGTTATTCCCAAACGTCATGTCGCCCACGGCATCTCTGAAGCCGCGCATGAGAGTTCCTTTTGACGTCTCGCAAACGAGTCGTGTAGGCGATATCGATTACTGATGGTGTGGCTCCAAAGTGCGATCGTGTGCAACGTTGCAATTGAGGCAGTTGCAGATCTGTGTGACGAGAACGACCAACTGCTTCGACTCAGTCCAGAACATATGCAGTCCGGCCTCGTGCGGCGAAGCTGTTGTGGTTGCATGTGCATCTTATGGTCGATAAATCAGTTCCGCAGTTGGTGTCAAACTGCAAGGGAGGGCCCAGAGCCAGCCCCCGCGTTCCACTACCGAGGTGTGCATGGTGGCTTCAGAATCTGGTGACTGGTATCGAGCGTAGGGCATTTGGCGAGTAGCTTGCGCTCATCCGACCACGAAACGGGTAGGCGGCGGATTGATTCCGCGAGTAAGCCCGCCTAACCCAATCCAGCCTACGATGGGGGAAGACTGGTGGTTTTTGAAACCAAGCCCCGGGAATAGGTAGATGCACAAACACTGGGCTCGTGGTTGGAGTGAATCGAGGCTGGCATATGGCATAAAGTGTTCCGGGGAGTTGCATTGTTCCACGCAGGCTCCAGTCGCACTCGAAATGAAAACCTGGTTGACCGCACACCGCACGTCGCACGACGATTCCCAAAATTCGTTCCGATTAACGCGCTCGCAACCTCTTAGTCGGTAATAGGCAAGCTTGCCAGGTGTCCAAAAGGCAGACCGCATCTTCCGTGGATCCGAGCCATCAGCATCCCAGTAAGACCGCGACCCAGGATTCTAGCGGCGTATGCCGTGACCCCTCTGATCCGAACGGATTCGGGCTTTTCGCGATCACAGGGAACAACGCTTCCGGTCCAGCACAAGGTTGTCCATAGAATCTGCATCGCCTTATCCATCGTGAAAGCATGCATCTGCTCTGCGGGACATGCTTCCACTGCGTATGGGCTACCGGCATCCGAAATCGGCATCCGAAGAACGTGACACGAGATTGCGACCAAGAGTCCTGCGGAGTGTGGATCATGCGGCGTTGAAAGTTCATGTGGGTAGCCTTCGGAGAGTTTCGGTCTTCGGTGCTTTCCATGTTGAAGTGCCGAAAGCTGGTGAGAAGGTACAAGGAGATACAGATCGTCGGTACATTCGGATGTTGGATGGCTCGAAGTCTCCTCGTCGTCGTTCGCACCTTCTGCTCCTGGGGACCCCGTACTTGCTCAGCATGGACAGGCGCGCGTCGCTCCTGCCTAGTCCCGAACGACTGTCATAAACTCGTTCGCCATGATCGCGAAACGTACCGATGATCGAGCCGAGCAGATTGCGTACAGCGGTGATTAGTTGGGCACTTCTTGCGAAGGGACATGTGTTCCACGCCAGTCAACATGATGCAACGTCAACAGAAGTGCTGATAGAAGAGGAAGGTGCATTGCACGCGCTCTCAGAAGATGAGATGGATCAGTTTGAGAGAAGGTACCAAGCCGGCACGTCATTCTCTTTATACCTGCGCACATGACGAGATGAATGGTGATGATGAGAAGATAAGTAATCTCACCCGGCTGGTTTGTTCGCCTTGTTCCCCCTTCCCCGACTCCGATCCTCCGCTGAATGATTAATGCGAAAAAGAATGAGTGCTTCAACGGCCGTACGGTCATCCACAGCGACCTCAAGCTCCGCAAACTTCTTCGATTACCTTCTTGAGATTCTTAATGTCATGCGCGAAACGACCCAGGAACAAGCCATCGACGCCTTCGGCAATCTTCGCAAAGGTGCCAGGGCCAGCGCTTCCTCCGTAGACGATTCTTGTGGTGCCCGCTCTGCCAGCAGCCAGCTTCCTAAGCTCTTTCGTAACATTGACAACGTGGTCGGGGTCGGCGGGCTCCTTTGCGCCAATGGCCCAGACAGGCTCGTAGGCCAGGATTACCTCAGTGTCGTCCGGGACGGCAGCCAGCACTGACATGACCTGGGGTTTGCACTCCTGTATAGCTGCACCGACAGCTGCCGATGCGACGCTGTGGTGCGTCTTCTCGCCAATGCACACCAGCGGTATGAGGCCGTTCCTCGCTGCTGCACCAGCCTTCTTCGCGACCGTCTCGTCTGTCTCGCCGAACATGGCCCTCCGCTCCGCATGTCCAATCTCTACTATGCGCGCACCTGCCTGGCGCAGCACTAGTGAGCTGACCTCGCCGGTGTATGCGCCCTTGTCCTCCCACATGGTATCTTGGGCGCCAAGCATGATAGACGAGGACTCGAGGATGCGGGCAGATTCGGTGAGCGAGACGAAGTCGGGGATGACGAAGAGATCGATGCGCGAGTTCCAGGCGTCGCCGTCAAGTTGCAAGACGCCGCGGACGTAGGACAGGGTGCTGGGCAGGTCGAAGTACATCTTCAGCGAGACGCCGACGATGCGGCGGGGGCGCGTGATGGGCGGCATAGCTGCGGTTTGTATGTGTGTATGAAGAATGTTACTTGTAGAGCGTCTGGCAGCTTCCCAAGCACACTCTTGCGCAACGATGATGATCCGGGGTTACCGCATAGGGTAAACCCGGGGAAGGGACAATTCGGCCACCAGCGGTGGAGGGGAGCTTGTGTGGGACGGGACACGTTTGTGGGGCTCCATGCCACATCCATTACCACATTCAATGCCACATTATAATATGCGCGCCTTGCGGCCTGCCCAAGCGCTCTCTGCATCTCCTGTGACGACGCGCGCCCACCGCATGCACATGTTACGTATAGCCACCGGATCGTCCAGTGGTGCCAGAGCAGCCATGGCAGACCGCCGAAGATGGGCCACGCTTGGCAGGGCTGGAGGGCTCCGATTGTGCCTCCGTACTGCGCTAACCGCTTCAACGTCAACCTTCCGCTAAGGAAAACTGTACATCAACGCATCACTCACCTCTCGCCCACTGACCGACCGCAAGACAGCAGTGGTACATGTCGCGGACACTCGCAGATCGCTGGGCCCGCAAACGATACTTTGGATAGCTCGTGTCAACACCGCAGTACGCAGCATCCTTGCACATCGCCCGAATTCCACCGCGGGGTGCATATCTCTCATATACATTTCACTAACGTCGGGAGAATTGACGCAGACTCTACAATTTCCTCCCTCTTCTTTCTCTAGTTTTCCTATACCTCTCCATCATGCACATCTCTCAGAAACTTGCCCAGGCGCGGGAGGAGGGAAAGCCAACCTTCTCCTTCGAATTCTTCCCGCCCAAGACAGCGCAGGTACGCCGCACCCTGATGTCCCTGGCACAAGGAGCAGAAAGCTGATTCCATCTAGGGAGTCCAAAACCTCTACGACCGCATGGACCGCATGCATGGCTTCGGTCCACAGTTCATCGATCTCACCTGGGGCGCCGGTGGCCGCCACTCCAAGCTGACCTGCGAGATGGTCAAGGTCGCACAATCCGTCTACGGCCTCGAAACCTGCATGCACCTTACGTGCACCGACATGGAAAAGTCGAAGCTCGACGACGCCCTCCGCGACGCATACAACGCCGGCTGCACCAACATCCTCGCCCTGAGGGGAGACCCGCCGCGTGAGAGAGAAAAGTGGGAGGCGACAGCAGGTGGCTTCCGTTATGCCAAGGATCTCGTCGTATACATTAAGGAGAAGTACGGAAACCATTTCGACATTGGTGTGGCCGGATACTCCGAAGGGAGCGACGATAATGACAACGTCGATGAGCTCATCGACCATCTCAAGGAGAAGGTGGATGCCGGAGGAACCTTCATTGTCACACAGATGTTCTACGATACCGATCTCTTCCTCGAGTGGGTCAGGAAGGTTCGTGCCAAGGGCATCGACGTTCCCATCATTCCTGGCATTATGCCGATCCACACATACGCGGCATTTTTACGCCGAGCTCAATGGACCAAGTGCAACATCCCCAAGAACTGGACTGAGGCATTGGAGCCTGTCAAGAACGACGACGTCGAAGTCCGTGAAGTTGGCAAGACTCTGGTCGCAGACATGTGCCGGCGGCTGATCGATGCT